GTTTCTCTCTTTATTTCAAATAATGCTTATAACTGTTTTTAGAAAGTGTTCAGCTACAAATGGGTGTTTCGGAAGTGGTCTGGAGCAGCTAAATTGCAACGAAAATCTATGTACGGTAGCTGGAACTACAACAGTTGGTCAGTGGTCTGGATGGTCCGATTGGAGCACTTGTAGTACGACTTGCGGTGGTGGTTTTAAGAGGCGTACCCGACTTTGTCAACGCGGGACATGCAATGGTCCATCTAAAGATTCACTACCGTGCATGATTAAACATTGCAAGTCATTTTCATCAGGAACCACTGCTTCGTGGGGAGGTAAGTACTCTTCCAGTGGTGCTATTACCTTGGCTAAGATCTCATATGGTAGTAGTCCAGTTACCACCGAGCCATCTGTTAGAACTGCATCAGGCACCAATTATTCCTTCAGTTCTATCGGCCTGACAGATGTAAGTTTTGCAAAACGAAATCTTCGTCGCTTTTGGCTGTTCAGTAACGGTTCTTTATCGCGAACTGCTGAACCTGACCCCGTACTACTGCAAATTTTCCTGTAGTAACTTCTGTTCGTCTGCAGATTTTTCCTCCTTTCCAAAAAAACAGCCTGCATTCATTAGACAATTTTAACTTTCTTTCTCAGTTTGCTTTCTTTCATATTCGAGCATAACCTTATAAACACAAATTTAATTGACTCTTTTCGCTTATTTTCAATTTAAGAAATGACGAAAACGATTGACCTCTAGTATTTCCACTATTATCTAATGGAATATGTGGTAATAATTTAGGATAAAAATTCCACTAATGTGGTGGAGTATTTTATCAGAATCTTAAAACTCGTATTTAGCTTTGGTATTGAATTAGATTTTTTTTTCTGTCATCTTCCGTAAATATGGATAGCAACACAATATTAATTAGTGTCGTGCTAATTAAAAGGCTTTTATTACCCTTTATTCTTTTATGATTAATATGAACAGATTTTCTTTACTTCTAACAATATCGTAAAGCAAAAATGAAGAATATCAGCTACAGGTAGCGATAATCCGTTTTAGAGAATTATTAGTGATGACATAAACAACGGATATATCATTTATAAAACTAAAGTTATGTAATTCCTAGTATTTACTTATATCATCGATGGTAAGGTCGAAATGTTTGAAGGCAGAGGTAAGGTAAATTCATTTAGATCCTTTCTTGTGAGATCAGAGATTGAAGTCTTGTGAAATGGGTCGTTGAGGCTATTCCAAGTTACCAGAATCAGAACTAACCCGAACTCAGTGGCACCAAATAAGAGCTTTTAGGTTGGGGTTATTGGTCACCGTGTTCTGAAACATGCGGTAGAGGTGTCCGGAAGCGGGTACGCAAATGCTATGGCGAAGGTGGGCAGTGTTCTGGAAATGAATATGAGCGAGAAATATGCAACGTGCGACGATGCTGAGGATAAATTGGTGCATGTCCTGGTTGCTAGCAAATATTGCGAGCATGTGACTTGCTTGGTATCTTGTGCATGCGCGTTTTTTGAATTCCTCCTTAATCTCAAATGCCAGCTTCAATTAGGAGCAAATTTGGTATATTAGTTATTTCATGGAAAACAATACTAATAATTAAAGAGCATATTAAATCTGGTAAGGACTGGTTTAAATTTTTACTTATCACATGTGTAGGCTAATCATTCCTTTCTTTAATTTAATTCTATTTCAATTTCAAAGAAGAGATAGAAAAGAGAAATGCATCTTCTGATGTTGACATTCGCTGAACGAATTCCTTTCTGCATGTTTCTTTATTTATCTATTAGAAGCACTTTCTATTCTCTCTTTCATACTTATTTATTAGGCACTTTTGTTTTTGTTAAAAGGAGTTATTCCTGAGGTTGCGAGTACTTGTTCGCTACATTTTTGTCAAGATATGTTATATTGTTTGCCGATATTGACCACTGATATTTATCCTTCGACTGTGATATATGTAGTAATCCTTTTGGTTTGGTTATATTTGATTATAATTTATTTTTTTCACAATTTTCCTTTGTTTCTCACTCATAAAAGATTGTTTTAAACTTATTTGTTGCTAATTAAGAAAGTGATAATCAAACTAACTTTTCAAGAATTCATACTTTTAAAACACTGACATATCCTAAAAATAGCACCTCATCGATTTCTTTCATTTTTGTAGTAGCATTGGTAGAGATAACAGTATCTACATGATGCTGTATTGATAATAACTCTAATAATGAGTGTAGTGATAGCAGTGAGAACCGTGGTAATCACAATAGCGGCTTTGACGTTACTTCCACTAGTAAGAGTATAGATAAGATGATTTGGAAATATTACTTCAATATATAATTTAATTACTCTGAAAAAAAGGTTCGTTTTTTAATTATAGATCTTTTGCATCACTCTTATATGTCATTTCAAATCCAAATATTAATTTTTTTCATTCACTTAATTGTTCATGTTTTAGTAAGGGTTACCTCAGTATTTGTTGTATTTTCTTGAGTACCTTATATTGGCAAATTTTCTTTGTCTTTAAATCCTCATAGCACTTATTGTATCAGTCAACAGAACAAAGAAAGATGAAATAAAATGGAACCAACTTAAATTTCTTTAAAATAAAACTGGTGGAAACAATGTTAAGAACACTTTTTTTTTATTTCTTTTATAATATATTTGGATCTAATTAATAGTTTGCATCGATCTCGCCTAAATGATCAATATGACAGAGAGATGAGAATGAATAGAGAGTAAGCATATTTGGAATTCTCAACTAGTGACAAATTGAATTGATCAGTAAAGAAAAGCCTTTGTATCCGTTGCAATCTTTGCATCACTGCCACTTCCTCCATTACTTCATTTTAACCTTTTACTGCCATAGTTACAATTATCCGTTTGTTTATGCGTTACTATTGATGATCACTTATTATATAATTTGTATATCTTTCTTCTTTTCTTCAAAGAAATTCTTGTCTTCTGTTCTCTTTATTCCTCCTATCTTTTCTCCCCGTTACTATGATTGTTACGTTGTACTATGCACCATTGACTATTTCAAGTATAAACTGTTGAGAATAAACTTTTAATCATCATATTTCTCACGTTGAATGAGCGAAGTATTTAAATTCTTACAAGAATTTCGGAAACATTTATAATTTTAATTAAACCGTGGTAAGAATACTACCAGTAAAAGCACAGGTGTCTGATATGCAGTAATTAAAAATTAAGATGTATTTAGTCATCATGATGACATGCAAGTGTAGCTGGCAAATCGAAATTTCAGATATCTTTAAGGTACATGAATTTTAAAATGAGTTAGATAAATGTAGGAGTTTGAAGTTACATTTGGAATAATCAAGAAGTCAAAATTTTGTTCTGATATCTTCATGGTTTAATTAGCTGAAAATCATATGGAATTATTTTCAGTGGAGTTCTACAAAGTGTCTTACTTTTTTCGATAAGTGATTCAAGTAAAATCACAAAATATATTATGAAAGATAACCAAGCGAGTTAAGAGGGATGGAGATATTTTTTTCTGTAATAAATTTGGCTCATCATTTTCCATCGAAGGGAGATGGCATTAAATGAACAATTTATTTTAATCCAGACTTTTTCAATCATTTCCACTTCAATCAATTACAATTTGGTTCAATTCCAATACAATGGCATGCGCTTAACTTGGCAAGCAAATGGCAGCTTTAAGAGATATTTATTGGCAGTGAAAACAATAAAGAAAATATCGTCTGTTTTTGAACTAAGTTTTTTCATCGCTGGAACACAGACAGACGAATCGCAATGGATAATGCGATTGAGTAGACTGATCTTCATCTAATCTTTATTAATCAAAAGGAAAAGTCGACGTAAAAAGTAAGCCTAACTTATCCAATTCAAATCACATATTAATAATAATTATACCGTTCACAAATATATTTTGAAGAAAACCGAGATAGATACATTCATAACTAGACGGTGAGAAATAATCTTTTAATCCTAGCTAGCAGGTTAGTTAGATTAATTAAATAGTTGGTTTCATAAGAAATCTATATTAGAGTCAAATCGATACAGGATGAGTCATTGCCTTAATCTCATTCATACTTACTCTCTCATTTACCAGGATTTTGCACAGTTTAAGTTCGAAATTTTTGCAAAATAGAAAAAGAAGGAAAACACAACTTCTGTAATTAATTCTTTATCTTTCCTTTCTCGGTTGAAAGAGCTAATTTATGAAAAAATATTTTTTTGCTGGCTCAAGTAATGCAGGCAAAACAGAGAAAATTAATGGATCACGGCATTAACTTTTGTTTTTAATATATATGAAAAAAAAAAAAAAAAACGAGTTTGAATTTAAGTCCACATTAACTCTGTTTAAGCTTCATCTGATAATTAGATTTTAAGTTTATTTTTTATTTCACGGAAACAAAAACTAAAATAGATTTTATGTGTTTACTATAACATATTTGCAATGCTTCGTTGCTTCGCAGTATAGAATGTTATAATAATTGTCCGATGAAAAACACAGTAGTTAATAAAGCCTGCTTAGGCTTAGCTTAGCGAATCTCACCTTTACACTTTTCGTTTTCTTCACATCGATGAAGCATTACAGGTTTGAAGGCCTTGTATATGACTTTTATATCCATTGTTTATAGTGCCTATGTCTATTCATTTCAAAAAAAAAAAGCTATTTCGAACTTGTCTCCTCTTTCTTCTGATAAAGCTGGTGTAACCCTTTATAACTTTTGTGCTCTTACCAGGTCTTTTTTACTTAAAAAAATTTGTCTAGTAGTTTTTGCTGTATAGAACTTGGTAACACTTGATTTCTAAAGTTTGTGATGATAAGTCATCAGTTAACATATGTATTGTAGTTAAGAGAAATTATGAAGGTAATTGATATGATTAGTTGGATGTTTCATTTCTGAGCATCAAATGCTTCACTGGAATCCTTCAAATGCTTCACTGGAAGCATCAAATGCTTCACTGGAATCCTATTTTACACAATTATATGATCAGTTTATTTCATAAACATATTATGATGGGTACAATGGTGTCATCACCGTCAAGTCCTGAACCAGAAGATGCTTCAACAATCTCAGAACGCATTTTACTCACGCTTACTCAGAAACCTTTACGAATGACCAATATGCTACGCATTACTAGGTAGTAGTACCCTATGAATAAATTTATCATTAGTGGTTTAGTCATCTTTCAATGCTTATTACATGTGTTATTATATTTTCCCATTCAAAATTAGCAGTTCTAATTTTGATCCAACGTTGTCATAATATTTATGAACTCTTTCAGGATTATAAGTGATTGTAGTTCAGAAGAGAAATTACAGCTATTTCAAGCTGGTGTCCTTAGAAAAATATGTGAAACGATAGCTGAATGTAGCGGTATTAATAAACTAAATAGGTTGTGTTATTCATATTTTTAAATAATGTTATGAAGTGTTCTAAATAACTGACAACGGGAAATAATCGATTACATTGACATTCATGGCGTATCCATAGAAATAAAATAGTGTTGCTAACAAAATATTGATAATGACTTTCTGGCTCGGTTTTCAAAAATTCATTAATTATTAAGATGGATGACAATTTTACAGCTTTCTTAATAAACAAATCTCCTCCGAATATAACAAATTTTCCCTAAAACTACCCAAAAACAAATCATTTTACTCGTAGATAATGGGAGTAGCAAATGTGCTTTGGGTATCAAATAAGCAAACATTTATTTCTGTTAAAAATATAAAAACAAACATATACTAGTCAAAAAATCTATTTTGGCATATCTGGTTAAACCAGAGAAAAGTGCTTTTAATAACTTTTTAGCCATTAATTTAAATCAAATGTATTGGGATTTCAGTTTAAAGTCCCACTTTGGAAGGTATGGTACTTACGGAAATGCTTTCAGGTCAGAATTTGTTCACAATAGAAGAAAGAGGGGACAGCAATCCACAAGGATAAGCAGTTGTACAGGATATATCCAGAAAGGTGTCGGTTACGGGCATGGCTCTACTCGCAGCCAGTGGAATATTGAACGGACGGTTGAGTTATTTTAGGAACTAAAGGAATTTAGAACAAAAAGGAATGGGAGAGAATTTTTGTAGTGAATTTCTTATTGTTTAATTATGTAATGAATTTCTCATTTATTGTTTTCGTAGTAATCTTATAATTTATCAAAAGCATATATGACGGTAAATTATCAGCCGATAAGTTGCACAAAATTGATAGTAGCCTTGTTTGAATGCAGGTAGAAGAGCGTCTAATTCGGGAGGAGCATCTCATTTGGCTATTAAATGCTGTAACAGCATATATCTACTGCGCGTCACCGGACTTTTCTACCACTGAGCATTTACATTTCATAGATCGATATCCGGTTCATATCAGTAAACCAGTTATCCGAGAACTCAGCCAATCAGCCATTTTCCCGTTGCTTGAATATCATCTTAACAATGATAGTGTCTTTGATGTCAGTGAACATATGGAACTATACCAGGTGTTACATCATTTATCGATAAATATTCCCTCCTGCTTTTACTTACCTCTCTTCACTTTGCACAATAACAAAAGATTACTTCTCACATCGAAAGGTCTGTAAAGGAAAGTCCTTCGATTTGGTTCATAGCATTTTTCTTACTCTTTACTTAAATCCTAATAGCCAAATGTAGTAGCATTCGATGAACAGATGGTATATGTCCAATTTAAAAAACAGCTATCAGATAAGAAGTCACACTTTAACCGATCGTTACAACAATTTCAGTTTTTCTTTTCAAAAAATTTTGATACAATTTTTACGAAAATTAGCAAGCAATGAACAATATCGTTTGATAGGCGCTCCTGGAAACAGCAGCGGCAATGTCTGTAGTACCAGCTCTGGTACCTTATTTGATTCATCCTGTTAACGGTTCTCGTTCAATTGCTAAAGATTTGATGGTTCGATTCTCCAGCATAATGGCTTCATATCCCAATTCTTTCAAAGGCCAAATGGGTTCACTGGATTTCAGGTTTATCGATTTTATCAGCAAAGTACAGCAATATTCACAGGTATGTATCGGGGCGGCATTGCATTGGCACAAACTGAGCGACTAGAATCACTTTGGATTTTAAGTTGTACTTGCCATCATAACTGCTTCCATTGATGGTTTTTTCCTTCAAAGAAATATTAATACAAATCAGATCTGCTTTGTAGATTCTAATAGGTGCTGCACACCGATATGAGCAGGGCATTCCGGTTGCACAGCGGGTACGAACAGCGACAGTAAGAATTGAAGATGATGAGACACTGCTGATAGGACAGTGCGATGAAGAGATGTCTGCTCAGAAAAACCTGTCAATTCTTTATCATAGAACTTTGAAAAATATTCAAGTTCAAACATTCAGGTTTTCTTTGAAGTTTTGCTGCAAATTTCTGAGTGCTTCCTTTTAGAACTCTAAATACTGAATCTCAAGTAAAAGTTATAATACTACTTCAAGACTGAATAAGGCTCATATCGAAATCAAATCCTTTACTCCAGACTCATTGGTGACTATGGTAAACTCAATGTACCGTTTACATTTAAGAAGGAGATGCATAATGTGAATCCGTTCTCATCATCTCTGAAAGAAAGAACAAAACGAATTGGTTATTTTTTTAAAATAAACTCACTAAAAATTCAAATAAACTGTATCGAATGCAAACTTGGAGAGTGCTACCCTAAAGTTTTATTCTGGAACTCAGTCACTTTATGTTGAAAATGAAAATTATAGCTAAGGAACTTGCATCAATGCCTAACAGCTTACCTTTAAATGCTAGTAACAGCATATTTGTTTGCTTGGATGAAGGACGATGTGACATTGTCAAAGTGCTTATCTCGGGACCAGATGGCACACCTTATCAGAATGGGCTCTTTGAATTTGACGTTTTCTTCCCAACGAGGTATTTCATTAATGAGAATGTAAACAATAACCTCACTTTTGCATTTCGTAGTGCTAATCAAACTGAATATATCATGACAAGATAGAAATCGAGCATCCATACTCACTGAAGTAACGTGATAGTTTGTACGAATGCCTTTTATCTTTATCTTTTCTAGGATCCAATCGAACTAGTTTTTTAGAAATCCGATTTTGAATTATGCAATTCATTTCACTTTGAGCGGAATAAAAAGTGGCTCTACAATCAGATAAAAGTTTTGAATCATCGATGAGTGAACTTTTAAGTAGCATATCGAATACAATGCTACATTTGCCAACATTCTCATGAAATGTGACTGAATGTCGATTCATCATTTTTGATTAACAGCTATCCATTCTCGCCACCAAAATGTGCTTTTTTGACGACTGGTGAAGGAAATCTGCGCTTCAATCCCAACCTCTATAATGATGGTAAAATTTGTTTATCGATACTAGGCACATGGGAAGGTCGGCCAGAGGAGAAATGGAATGCGCACTGTTCCCTATTACAAGTGCTTATTAGTATTCAGGTCAGAACTAAAACTTTAATAACATTTTCTTCAAATTCCCACCTGATAAAAAGAATTAGTAAAAAGAATGAATAATGAACTTTGAAGGATTTAGACGCAGGAATTGGAAAGCGCAATTTTTCAACAAACCATATATTAGTCCCTGTCATTAAGAATTATCTTGCATTCGCAAACTGTTTTTAAAAAAAAAAAAAAACATTTTAAAATGTATACTGTGACTGCAGGGCTTGATATTCGTGAAGGAGCCTTATTTCAACGAGCCTGGCTTCGAAAAGTATCAAGGGACCGAGAAAGGTGACGGATATTCGAGACGTTATAATCTTCAAATCGAATATGCAACACTAGCTTATGCAATTAGAGAACAAATTAGAAATAGTCCTCCTTACTTCAAAGTAAGTTTAAATCTTTCTATTTTTCTGTTCTATTTCAAATGCTTTATGCACTCATAAACTTCCTTGAAGATACTAGAAAACTTGCCGTGTTTGAAATTTAAATTAGTCAAGATCAGTACTACAAGTGTGGGAGTATGAGAATATAAGAGCACTAAGGAAAGGGTGTCTAAGCAACGAAAAGTTGAGAAATGTACTGTAAACTCCTTGAAACCAACAGGAAATTAATTAGTGGTCGATGTCTCCGTTGATTATATAATGCACTGAAACTTCCAAATCTATCCATCTCCCCAAATTTATTAGGTGGGCAAATCAACCTTCTGTGAAGAAAGCTCCTATATATTTAAGATATATTAAAGGACATGCTTTCTGGAGGTTGCAAATGCACTTCACTCAGCAATTTGTGAATAAAGGATGTAATAAACAATTTTTCAGGACGTTATCAGACGTCATTTCTGGCTCAAACGTCAAAGTGTTATTGAACAAGCACAAAATTGGCTTAGAGAAATGAACAAATATACAACCAACACTGAGAAACATTCACGAAAGACTGTATTATTGCCATTTGATACAGCGACTAGCTTCCTTGCACAGGTGCCACTCTAAGTCCTCAATTCTATTTATTTATAGTTCATGTATCCGATCCTTTTATAAGTTATAACTTCGCAGAAGTCTTCTAATTCTCCAAGAATATTTGGAGATTTGAAAATTCAGTAAAGAAGAAAACTACATTAGATTTCTATATAAAACTATATTAGTACAACACCATAATTTGAGGAAATCTAATCCCTACAGCTTAAAAATACTTAGCATGAATTTACAGGAGCGGATGATTTGCCAGATGATTGAAGATTTTCGAAAAATGAGCATCAGCAGTAAGCAATGTAAGTTCATTTTTTTTATTGATATCTCTATAGGTAAAGGAAAAGGTTGGTTATCACAGAAATAAACGTATATACCACACGACCAAAAGTACGATTACCAAATCTTTGTATCCATTAATATCTTAAGCCGAGAAACCTGGATATACATACATATCATCGACTTGTTTCATCTATTACTTTTCTGTTTGAAGAAAAATGAAGAGGCTTGTAATGCATAAAAAACCCTCTCGTTAAGAAATTTTTATAACATTAAGAAAACCTTTCCATCCATCATATAAATATCAAGATAAAATACAATGGATAAGATGTATTTCGGAGAAATTTCCTTTTACTACCTGAATACTGCTGTAGTAAATATATCTATAATCCTATGGTTTCTGTAAACACGCATTCTTCCATTACTTTATAAAAATATCAACAATCAGAAAACCAAATACTACACCAATAAAAAAAATGTTACAGAGGATAAGCTCCTTCAACTAATAGGGAGCAATAAACTGTGCTTCTTGGTAATGCAATCGCCAGTGGTGTGGAGCACTAACCATCCATGGTACAATATGCCTGGAGAATTGTCTGGAAATTTTTTTACTTTTTTTGCTTCATAAATTGGTGTTATTAAAGCTGTTAGCCAACAAAGTATATGTTACTGTCCGAGTGGTATTCAAAATCTCTTCAGAAGAAAATAAAAGTCATTTTTCCTTGAAAAAAGTTTCAAACTGTTTAATTTTACAGGTTTAAGTGGAGTCCCTCTCTTTCAAGTTTTGATTTTGGATAGAGGCTCGGTAATGTAAGGTATGCTGAGTCCCTGAATTAATCCGGATATCCTATCATTGAATATTTCTAAATCCTCTTACTAACTTCATTTTCTTCCCGTTACCAATTAATAGCAATAATTTAAAGGTGACTTAATAAAAAGAACGACACAGGAAAGAGAATAACTTAGTTAAAATATCGTCGAAGAAATATTTCTTAATGAAATATTTTTCCGACGTACTTCTATTACATTTCTAATTCATTCATTTATTTATATGGCATCGACTTCTGTAGTATCTTTAGCGATTTTCTGTGCAAACTCTTAGATGAGAAAATATACAGATTAGTTTCCCCTTAATTAAACCACTTTCTTAAATTTTTTAAATTAAGGAAAATAATATAGAACATAATTACTTTTTCCCTGTTTGTTTTAGACTAACTTTCTTGTTGTATACTGAAACAAAAAAATCATGTACCATTGGATTGATGACGGATTTCGCCCGAGGTCCCCACTCATATGTTACAGTTTCGCAACCACTTTCATCCGTCCCCTTTGTAAAAGCTAACCAACCTTAAATGAAAAGTTACATTTCAACATCAAGGTTACTTAGAACAAAGAAACAATGAACGAAACCAGGTAAAAGTACCAAGAGTGTAATATTTGGTTGGGAATGTTTGGTATAGAAATTAGACGAAATAAACTGATACAGTAAAAAAATGATCCGAAAATAAGTCTCACCTTGTGAAATGAATTCTGCAGTACGTGCGGCTCCAAGTAGCTGGCTCAAATCCGCTTGGTTCCCAAAACAACTATTCTCAGTAACACCCATTTCTTTCTTAGATAAAGATATCAAGACTATTGTGTTTGGGAGCAGACTAAACTTTCCATAATGGACGGAAGTTAATTTTATCGAAGGCTTCCAATAAGACAAGCAGAAACTTCTGTATTTTCAATAAAAATAAGGGCAAATTTACCAAGAAAATTTTTATTGAACTCTCGGAAACTGCACAATTAAGAGAACCAGGACGATGCATCATATAAATGAACATCAGGATCGCAATTAGCAGCCCATACTTTGCTTTATCCTATGATGATATATGTGAATTTTTAATGAGGATTTAAAACACTCAAAAAAAATCATAAAATTCATAAAACACTTATGACAACAACCGTAATATAGACACCTCTTCTGAGTAATAGCGGTTCTCATCAACAGTCTCATGTTGAATTTTCAAGCCATTCTTTACATACAACTGGTATCCTTCAGAAGTTTTTGCTTTACATACCTGGAATAAATTCGTGAAATATGAACTACAAAATAGAATTGTAATCTACCAAAACGAAATATAAATCTATGTGTCCCTAAGATAAAAATGCGAAGCACCTAATTCCAGCCTAGTTCTTAGTTTATTGAAAAGACACCTTCACACCAACAACTTCATCCAGAATACCAATCGTTTGGTCGATACACCGCTCCCAAATTCTAATATTTGGAACTTTGGTGCATTGCTTTTTCCTGCCCTGAAAGGATATAAATCTCTATGGAAAATGTAATTAGTTAAACTTTATAAAAATTAACATTATAAGAAAATTACGTGATTATTGTCATTCAGTCTTACTCTAGGAAAAAAATAATGTCACAAGTAATCTTAGAAGTATGTAAATCTTTAATAAATCTCGTAGGACTTTTTGCTTTGCTACAGCTTTATAAGAAATGCAATTTTTGAAACTTCATAAGCAGTACCTGCAAGTATAATATCAACTGGACTAATTCAGGTATTTTATCATCCAACTTTTGTTTTCCTGCTGCATCAAGAATTAAGTCTCCGCAAAAACGCATATTTAGCAAGGCTTCAAAATTTTCAATGCAGCGGTTTTAAATACAGTAAAACTCATCCCAAACGCGAAAACGTTACATTTAATAATAATGTAAACGCGAAATGATTCAAGTGGGTGACTGTTCAGTCACGTACTTTGTAACTAATAACATAAATGGCACTTGTGCATGATGAATAATACATCACATCTTAATAAGTGATGAAAATTGAAAAATCTAGAAAAATTCAGGAACTCAACCTTTACTCATTTTGATGAGATAAGTTATTTATTTGTTATCCTATAAGCATTTAGATGTGATACCAACTACTTATTGAATAGAAATGCCAAACGATTACAAACACGAAAAACAATGGATAAACTATCTCCAATCCCGCTCTACTCAACTTTTTTCCGTCTCTCAAAACCGACGTTTAAATTAAAATATGTAATAATTCAAAATAATCAGCCGAAGTAAAGTCAGCTTCCAAATCAAACGCAACGACTGAGTCTTAAGAAATCTGAAATGGAAAGAGAAAATTAGAATGTTACGGCACTTAAACGAAAAATGCAATCTCTTATTTACATTAGCACACTCATCATCTCCACTTTATCCAGTTCATTTCTGTTACCCAGCTTCCTTAGAAATAAAATTTAAACTCAGCTTTCTTCTCAATTATTCACCCTGATTATGCAGTTTACTAATCTCCTTTTTAAACACCATATCAATTTAAATATCTGACGCTCATGAACCAAATAACCGCTCTGCTCAGATCGTAAAAGTACATTTTGAAGCACATGAATAGAAATTAGGGATCCAGAGCAAAGTTACCTGTATTAAAAACTCTTATTACATATTATAGTCTTGAATTTTCCTTCGCTGAAGAATTTACACAAAATGTGCTGTCTCGATTACCGGCGCCATGTTCCTTGAATCCATAACAATAGATTGATTTGGCAAATTTGCGGGTACTATGCTCAGAATTTCAGTTAACCTAACGTAAGGGACGTTGTACAATCCTTAAAACTTCTTTTTCGCTTTGGGAATTATGTCTAAAAATTAATTTGGAATTTTGCGCACAGCGGTACAAATAACAGATTTTAAAGCTGCTCATAATTTTGCTACAGTTTTCTTTTGCACCAATTTTTAATTCCAAACTTGTAATGCTTCCTATCCTTCATACAAATACTTACATTGGACCCTAAAGTTACGTAGCTGTTCGAACAACGTATTCAAGAAGTTGCTGGATTGACTGAAGAACTAGAAATTCAGTTAGTTGTAGGGAAGTTTTACCGTCAATAAATTGTGAGACCATTTACAGTTTCAAAAGATTACTCTTGCGAATACTTATGAGAACCTACGATGAATTTTATACTTATGCCTTAACACATTAATAAAAACCATAAACAGTGAAAATATTAGTTCGATAGTGAATGACAGTCTACCGCTCAGACCCCTAACTCAGACCATTCTGGAAAGTAATTTTCATGACCATTCAGGGAAATCACTAGCACACACAAGGAAGGACTACGAATACTGAAAAGTTATTGAAATCATAGAGAAGTGACGGACGAGGGAGGGCAAGAAATGTGTCATCAGTAACAAAACACAAAACAGAAGACAGGATGCATTTTTTATTTCAACAAAAGAGATGATGGTAAAGAAAGGTTGGAGCAGGATTTGTCCTTTCCCAGAACAAGGTTTCCATTTTTTTTACCCTAATTTCAACTTCCTGAAGTGAGATTATATCTACCAAAGACGATGAAAAAATTAGATTTGATGTATTTACCCCTCTGTTTGGCAGATCTCATGAAATAGCAGTTGTATTGCCGGTAAGAACAAATTTCAATCGAAAAACAAGATTTAAAAGCAATGACGCACTGTGAAGCGTGCAACAAGAAGCTAAAAAACAAGAACAGTTGCTCTGATGAAGTTTACTGTAAAACTGGATGGAACAGTAGCATCTGCAATGAATCTACCGCACTATTTCAGCGAAACCAAGTGAATCAACAATGATTTTGATTCGATAAAATAGGAAAAAAGCTGAAATGTTGAGTATCGGTCGCAGGAATGACTGCTCATCTCTTGCAATGTCATGGTCAGCTGGAATGATGCTAGCAGGAAAGGCGCAATCTAGGAACCGACCAGATCGGAACACTGACATCAACCGATACCCAAAACAGAACAGAGCTCGCAATACTAATCTAAACTGGCACTATATTTAACGCGCTGATTGGGGACGCGTTAAATTCAATTTCGTTGTTTTTATTGCATGCGTAAGTTGACATGATTATCTGTGTGGGTATCTTAAGTAAATTTTGCTTTTGAATAGAACTGGTCTTAATGATAGTCCAGATTTCCACTCTTCAACACTGTAAAGTGGAAATAAAAGTGGAGATAATTCAAACACTAGGAATAATTAGAGTTGATAATTTTGTTAAAAATGAAAGATTATAGTTTGCGGATTACAGTTATGACATGGACTTAAAGAAGCTATTTTTGAAACACTGATATCTTTGCTCGTTTATATTTCCGCTTTCTCTTTAAATTATTTCCTAACAATTTTGAATGTCCAGTTTTATGATTAGGATGTCAGTGTCGTGGCTGGTTAAGTTATGGTTTACGTCTAAAGTTATTCTTTAGATACTGAAATGCAAAGTAATCTCTCCAGTCAACAGTTTCAGTCTATGACAACTCATCTAGATCATTGTAAGTCTTCGCTTTTTTTTCCTTCCTTTTATTATAAGTCATCGAGATACAGTTATTCAGAAAATATATGATCATCGCGAAGCATCTAACTTGCGGTTCTGGACGGAAAACTAGAAAAGGTCTTTGTAGAGATCTTTATTGCACGAAAACTCCACAAAGGAATGAGAAAACATGGAAGATTGACTAAATAAAGAGTTAGAAAATTGTTGAAGATAGATTAGTTTAAATCTAAATTAGTTTGAATTTGCAGTATAGACTTTCAGGCCTAAATGCGTTGCGATTACTTCGGAACGAAGTTATATCTGTGCATCGCCGAGTGATGGAAAATAGTTGGGAAAGTGATCCAACTGATGGTGAAAAGACGTTAGAAGAGAGACTTGATTTTATCAATCAGATTTATGAGTGAGGTTTTTACGCTATCTTTAGAAACTGTTCTTCATCAAGTTAAATTTTCAAATCGAAACATACCGCTGGGCCAGAACTCTGATTATTCGGTGCAACTTAATGTCTTGATGGTAGGTGGCAGGTTAATGCTGCAATATTTACAAGATATTTAATTGTGTCTGTTGTTAAATTGTTAAACAGTCATGACTGCTTTACCCGTCTGTTATATTGATCACAACTCATGAGTTTTTGCTATTTAATGTTGACCCCAAGATCATTCATTGAGTTATACCTCTAGTTACTGTTGATAGTTTGCATTGTAGTATATTTCTTAGATCGGATTTACTGAAAGGAATACTAACTTTTGAAACTTGAAGCCCAACTTGATAAGAAATAGCTTTCATAATATCCGATTATTCTTTTTTTTTGCTGCTCACTTTCTTTTATATAGCTCTATGAAAACATTAGTGTAGTGTGTGATTTATATGCCGTAAAACATGCGTAAGATCCTCAATTATTGGTCATATTTGTTACGTAGCACTATTATTTGTATCTGAAATAATTATAAATATAATTAGGTATAATTTCGTTTTTACCGTATCTTCAAACAAATTTTTTTTTCCTTATAATACCTTCAAATAATGCAAAATTGCTTAAATATCTTATATAATATATACGAAATAAAGGAATGTTGAATTAAAGTATGCTACGACAGTTATATCAGTGTTTTTTTTTTTTTAAGATCATAGGTTTAAGTTTTATTTATCAATATCTAGGTGGTAAATATCTTGTTAATAGGTCTTTGCCTTGGTCAAAATAACGAATTTGATTGCATAATTTTAATAAAAATTTTCCGATGAATTGATATCTTGATCGTGCTTTTTCTGCTAACAATGATATTGTTTTCCCTTCCTTATTATAGTAACTTGGAATCACACGCTAAACAGCTGTCAGTCTCAACACCTATGACGGTTCAGATGGAACGCTTAAGTCGATTTCTGCATGATGGACAGATCGACCCACATACCAATGAATTATACGATAAAGCGCTGGAAGCATCTACATGGATGGAAACAAATAATGTTTTTATTTCTTTCTTTTATTCCTATTGTTGTCATATGCATATTTTTCTCTACATATTAAAACTTTTATATTTTAGCAGTTATTGCAAATGTATGCAGAATTTCTGCGCACTGTGGTGGGTAATCGACGGCGATCAATAATGACAGACCGACCAATATCGTATTCAAACTATGGATTAAGTTCATCGCCGCAAAATATTTTTGAACAAACACTAACAGTTGTATTAAAGGATCCAAATATTAAAAAAATTGGTCTTGTTGGACGGTATCTGGAAAAAAGTACTCTATCAGCTCTTGTTGAAGTAAGGGACGTTAATGTGTTGTATCATTATTTATTGCAAATGTAGTTTTACAGTTTATGTGTATTATTTCAAAGTATCTACTGTTTATAACTGATATTATAATTATATGTTTAGGAGTCGCTTTTTTATTGAAAAGATAATTTTTTGATTCTGTAGAATTCATGTTATTAACGAATCTATAAAATCACTTGCTGAGCTAGAAATCATGCTACTAAAATGTTATTTTATTTTTCTTTTTACAGTTCAAATTTGGACAAGTAATAGATAAGCAGTATGTCTGTTTGCTCAAAATGCTTATGGTTGTCAATAGTGGACTACCAGAATTTGTGCAGATGATTGCTCCTCATGAAGAATGGTCTTATTTAGATATTGGCTCTGCTCAAGTTTGCCTTTTTTTTCGGATTTCTTTTTTCTGTTTAGCAAGATATTTTTTTCAATTCTCAGAAGAAGTTAGTCTTATTTCTCAAAAGGTAAAAAAGAGTATGGTTATATTTTCAGGGGTATTATTCAGTTGAATTTGGATCTTGGTTTGTCCATAAAGTTTTTCTGGATTTGTAAGAAGCTTTTAAGTATCTTTTAGGTTGATATTCATAAGGAAAGTCGATATTTAGTATATCGAAAGATGAGTGTTCAAGCAAATATACATTTGATGCAAACAATAATGCCTTGTATTGATATTCGAAATGCACACACACTTTCATATGTCCTAAACCTATTTGCGAAATTTTCTGGAGTATTTGATATAAAATGTCGTGTATGCAAGTAGGCTTATTTTTATTTTTGTCCCTTTTTATGTAAAATGTAACTATCCAAGCCAAATTAGATACAAACTACGTTATCAGATGCAGATCGCCAATGCAACTGGAAGGATTAAGTCAGTGACTCATGCCGCTGCTTGCAGTTATCAGAACATTAAAATATTTAGGACTAAATGTTGAGTATTTCTCTTTTTCAGTTAATGTAACGTAGGAATTTACGCTTTTTAGGAGGATAATGAAAGACTATTTACCGCCGTTGATGTTCGACCTTCGATGTCCGAAGAATGCATTACACGAATCGTGTCGGTAATTTTTATTCACCCGGGAGTTTCGGTCATATAAGATGACAGAGTTTTTATTAATCTTATTATTACTTATGTTAAAGAGTTCGTTCACTTTGCTTTTCAAGTGTTTGTCATTCCTAGTTTCTAACTTCTAAGATAATTGAGTTGTAAATAATGTTATAAATAACTTATATCATGGATGTTCTCTCCTTGTGTATTCTACTGTTGCGCCTTTAAAATTTTAAAGGCTTTTCTTATTATATGCTTGTTTTGTTCGGTTCTTAGTTTCTTTTACTTAGTCCATTTCTTTAAGATTGGAAATCATAGGAATAAAAGCATCAAGTTTTATTTTCGGTGATTCGTGGGATAAAATTGCTTGAAAGGATTTTATTATTTTTTATTCACTTGGCTTGCATGTATTTTTTACTTCTTTATTTTAAATATTCAAGAAATTTCGAATTTTTTTTTTTTTTTTTACTCTTTGTCATGAAACGATAAGCATTATTTTGAGGCGTGTATAAGTGAAATTTTGTTAACTTATGTTTAGCTTATTTTATTTTGCAGTTAACTTTTTGTAACGGAAAGTGAATGAAGCGATTTTTTGCTTCTTTACGTTCTGCTATTGCTCAGCTAGATCAAGATTATTCAGGAAGTCATGTAAGTTTATATGTTTTCATTCTCTGAGTTAAAAATTTATTTTTATTTGCAATTATGCACGGTATTGTAAATACATGTTTGCGAGATGTTTCACTGTGCTAAAATAATTATGCGAAATTTAGAATACAAGTAAGTGTAGTGGAAGGGAAATAGTATTTCTTCAACTGGGGTCATTTCAATACGTGAAGGAAATTTTAAATTTAAAGAGTGGATGATGAAGGTTACATGACTTGCAGAATTTTTTTGAGAAATTTTTAAATACTAATTATAGCCTTTTAGAGAACGGCGAAGATTGATGATGCTGAGCGTGTTGCAATAGATTCGTCGGCATTGCATTGTCCTGTTTGTTTTTGTGTATTTGCTTCGGCACCGTTCATTCTTAAATGCGGTCATTCGTTTTGTCAAAACTGTATCAAAAATATTGTCGAAAATTCATATTCTGAACAGGTCGCGGTTTTGTTCCATTTCGTTTTCATGTAATAATAGAAACAAATCTATTAAATTAACACTCGAGTAGCAAGAGGGAGCAGTCCTTTACGTAAGTATGCAGCTTTTATACTTATTTTATGGATATCTTTACATACTTTTTCGTTTATAATGACATTTATCCATATATTTGTCCACATGTCTGTTAATTCCGACCTCCAGTTCATTTTGATTTGAATCAGTCTTTTACAGATTTTTGAATGTCCCATGTGTCGTCAAGTAATTTCCTCCGAAATTCGTTTCACTAGGAATTATATAGTTGACGCCCTGCTACAGTCAGTATGTGAAATTGCTGAGAATGAAAATGAAAGTTCAGTGGATCCTAATTTAAGGATTTCGGTATTTTTTGTATTTTTTCTGTTAGAAGCCTCCGGTTCAATTTTTTTCTTTTTTGTTTTGCAATTGATTCATCTGCTACATTGAGTCCTAGCTGTTGAGCAGATTAGATAGAAATCTTTTAGCTCCTTTCACTTGTTGTGCTGACCGTTAACACAGATGGAGCACAGTCTAATGTTTTTAATTTGCGAAATGCCAATATAACGTTCTTAAATGTTCCTTTGCTTCATGTGAAGATTTTCAGTTTCAACTAATTTCCGGAAAGTTTCTGGAAGAGCAAAAGAAAAACAAAATTTTGCAGAAGAAATATGAGGAGGAACGAATTCGTAGTCGCCGATATCTTATTCTATTAGTTATGGAGAGTGCACTGTTGGTAGGTTTTGTGTTTTTATACAAGTTATTGTCTTCCTGATCGTAATATCACTGTAGTGCGTCTTTGAGATCAATATTTTGCATCGTTCCATTTATTGCAAACTGTTTTCCTGTGGGAATTTTAAATGTGTTTCTTTATTAGAATACAGTAAACCTTTTCGGTATTATTAAAGCAGACACCAAGTTTCTCACTTTGTCTTTTATTTTGTGATTTGTAAATATCAAATTTGTATTCTTCCCAGTAAAGTGTTTGCAGCATTTACCTGAGTAATATTAGTAATAATAAAAAACGCAAATGAAGTATTTACTCGCTATCAGTTCTACACTTTTGTTCTCAAACGTCTTACAAAACACTGTATAACTGTTTGCTTCTTATGGAATTATGCTTAAGAAGAACTGAGGCAGTTTTTCGGTGGCTGGTGGTATTTAGATTCAGCTGATACAAAACGGTAACGATCACTTCACTCTGAACTTTTGCTTTGAATTTTTGCTAATGAAACTGTAGGAACTAAAAGATGGGAGAGGTTTGGCTCTAGCGCTTTTCCCCGTTCAAATAATGGTGCCGCTAATCATCATTGTTGGATGGTGATGAAGAATAAATTAACATTTCAAAAACTATCGGCGGAGATGGCTTGACTAAAACTGAAATTTGGCAATGGGAAGTTGTCAAAAAATTTCTCAGAAATTGTGTACTTCAAAACCAGTTAATTTAAAATAACCTGTTTGTATCTGTTCTGTGCATTTTCAACGAGCAACAAACATAAGCAATAAAAATAGATGGGAAAGGTGACTGGGTATTCTAACCAAGAAAGAACGGGTGGAAGGGAGAGAGAATATCGAAGCAGGTATTACAGTATCAGGAGTTTCAGTTATATTTCATCAAAAGAAAAAATTACTCCAATCAATCTCGTTCCGCCCAGCTGACAAATTTTCTATTTTCATGAAATTCATTAATACCTGTTGATTATTGTTGGCTTAATCTTTTGCGACACGAATGGCATTGTTTTATATTTTTGGATTACTTTTTGCTGCTTTCTACCTAATTACCAAAGTGGTTCAAAGGTAAATTTACGGAATTAAAAAATTGAACTGTTGAGGTCTGTTTCAAATTCAAAATGAAGTTCCTTTTGTTTTGGTTATGAACATTCTTCAGCTTCCAGTCACCTAAGCTGAATACAGATCAACAGGTTAGAGCTTGAAGTGATATTGATGACTAGGGCAACTGATAAAAATGAAGCCCAGCATGAATGGTCGGATTGCGGGAACCCTCTTCTTTAGAAATCACTACTTCATAGCTTTTTTGATGGTAGTGGTAGTGGTGATCTTTCAGGAATATGATGGGCTTATTTAATTATTTATCTGTTCATTTGCTTATTCAGCCATATGAAAGAGTAAAGCTACAAAAAGACAATAGAAGTTGTAAGATGATTTTTCATAATGAACATTGGCTACGAGATGAAATGAAGGTATAAACCTTTTCGTGTTGTGAATAACGCAGGTGGTATGTCCACTTAAGAAGAAAAGTTGTTATTTGGTTGGTTTGTCTGAATACGAATCTTCCAATACATATTAATTTGGAAAGGAAACTTTTTACCATCAGGTGCCAAAGAAAACCATATGAGCGAAGGATACAAAGTTGATCTTTCCGTAATTTATCGTGATAGAAGGAAATGAATTCAGTGCATCCGTGGAGTTAGGAAGAGTACAAATGTTCCTGGAACCAAATAAAATAAATGAAAATGTGGTGAAAAAAGGACAAAATATCACTTTAGGTACCGAAAAGCATGGGACATCATCCGTGATTGCGGTTTTCCAGTAGTTCCGAGTCAACATTGGTTATTTGGAAGTTTAGATATTATGAAATCATATTCTACTCATTGGCAACTTGGTAAATTAACCAGAAAGTATGGCCGTACATATGGGATAATGCAAGGTTCCCATCCAACAGTTGTTACCTCTGATCCGAAAATTATCTATGAAATATGCTTCAAACAATTCCGTTTATTTCATTCACGTATTGTAAGTTGCATTTACTGTACAGCATTCTTGTGTCAGGTTATTCACTAAAGTTTTCATTGAAATAAACGGCCTTTATTCTTGTCAAAGTCTGTTTTAAATATCAGATGGATCCAAGTAGTTCTCATCCAGACACTGTCTATGAAGTCCACGAATTTGCCGCACGGGGTGAACGGTGGAAACGAATTAGAAGCTTGACATCGAAAGCCGTTTCAAATGAAAATCTCCGGAAGGTTCTTGATTTTTTGATTAATTTTTAATAAAGCGGTGAGCAAGTATTTTTTGAACTGGTAAATTATGCTGAAAAACTTGCTTTTGGACTCCGTATATAATTATACTTTTTTGCAGCTATTTCATGTCATGTGTGATTCCGTAAACTGTTTTGTAAAAGACCTTGAGGAAGAAATCACTGATTCAAAAGCACTAGAGCTTCATCCGTATGTGTCCTTTCTGTTCTTAAGAACTGAACTATATGAAATTATGAGTCTTTACTTCTTAAATTGTGTCCCCTAACATTCCCTTTGCCAATACTGAGTTGAGAACTTGAACACAAATCTTATTTGCATATTGTGGTTTCAGTCGTTTCCAGACGCTTACCTTCGATATTATATCACGATGTTGCATGGGTCGTCCGTATAGTTATCAACACAATGATTCAAATCTCAAACTTCTACTGAAAAAATTCAGTCCATTACAAAGTTTCCGTCCTTTTTCTCTACTTACATGTGAGGGAAATTTCTTAACTAATTCATCATAAAATTTCTAGAATGCAAAGAGTTTATTTTCTGGAGGAATATTTTATAATTAGTACTTCTCTGATGTTGTAAATAAATATACGCAAGAAGTTCCTTTGAAGGGTGTGTACCAGATTTAAAATGGATTTCACTAACATACGCCAAACTGTGTCTGCGTTTTCGTATAACATTTCACCTTGAAATTGACCCATTAGTTACTTATACGAATTATCTTCGCAAACTTATTTCAATGGATATCACTAGTCAGGTCTGTTTGTTTCATTTATTTTGGTAACTTGCATCCAACATTTGCAACTTATATACTTTTCTTCAGACTAAAATTCAGGAACGGTGCAAATGTGTATCCGTTCTCGTTATATGAATTCAACGAAGTGCTACTTATGATTCATTATGAAATGCGTTGTGAATGCACATGGCTTAGTTGCTTTAGTATTTATACATTTTCCCAAAAGTACTGCAATAAACAACAGAGATAAATCGATTGTTTTTTATATGGTCATCAAAAAATGATTCGTAAGACTAGTTTAGGATCGTTCTAGTTTTCTATACTTTATGAAATGTGTGGAAGATGACGAATGGGATGACTGGATAGTCGATGCGGACAAACCATATGATATATCAAGCATGAAAATCATTCCGAAACTGACAACCGGAGTAAGTTCATTTTGCTAAATTTGTAACAATTAATGCAGTTATTTGCGCTGTCAATACCATGTCAATATCTTGCATGTTTTGCATGCATATATACAAAATTCCGACTCCTAAAAATTGAAGTGATATGACGTTTGATATACCTTTTTCTTATTGAATTTGTTGAGAACCAAAACATATATTGTGAAGAAGTAAGCTTCATGTTAAAGCTTATAATAGAAATTATTTGCTCGGCTTTATCACATAAACTTAAAGGAAATTATAAATCAGTGTCGCTTTCTAACAACAGCAGGATTCGATACAACAGCTAACACTGTGGCCTATTTAATATATCTGTTGGCCAGTAACTCTGAAAAACAGGAAAAATTGTACCAGGAAATTGCAACGTTGGAAATTACATTTGATAATGTGCAACATTTCAATTACCTTCACTATACAATCATGGAGACTCTTCGACTTTTCCCACATGCTTCCTTGTGAGCGTTAGCTCTTCAATTTTGTCACTGAAGTGAGAGCTAAAACCCGGGACTTTTTAAACAGAAGCTAGGTGTTATTCAAAAGCAAATCTGTAACTAGTTTCAAGCCCTTCGGGTCTACAGACTAAGAGATTGTTCTAAATTTTGTAATCTATTTAAGATGTGTTCAAGCAGGCACTTCTGCGATGAGCAAAAAAATTCGTTATTTGTAGGTTGCAGTCTCGTATGTGTGTTCAGCAATGTGAAATAGGACCTTACACATTTAAGAAAGATGTGGGTGTTATTTTCGACACCTGGAGCTTACATTACGATCAGGAGATATGGGGCAGCGATGTCAAACAATTCAGACCCGACAGGTTTCAACCATGTCTTAGGATCTGAGCTTGTAATTTTGATTTGGAAGAAAAAAAATGCGAATCAAAGACAATAAGAGAATATTTTTAGTCTGATTCTGCTTCATGAACTTTCGGTGATGTAAGAAAATCCGCATTACTGCCGCATAGAAAGAATAGGAGATTGAGAATGGCGATGGTAGAGGGAATAATGTTGGAAAAATCCAGAAAAAGCAAGAAACTAACATTCAAAAATTTTCAGGTTCCTAGACTACACTACAATTCAGAAAAGGAACTGGATGGCCTTTGGTGCAGGGCCACGCCAGTGTGTTGGGATGCGCTTTGCGATGCTGGAAATCAAAATAATAATTTGTAGTTTGTTAAAGAAATTCTGTTTTCGTAAAATTGAAAACACATGCAAGGTAAACTCCACTGTCATTATTAAGCCTGCATGACACTCTCAAGAAATTTTGCAAGATTAGATGACCCGTAGAGGTATACAAAATATAGGAACGAGACAGCAACAGAATAAAAAAATTTTCCACTAAAAACAATGACGAATCATTTACGGAGTAATTACAAGGATCTTGATGTTCAACAACCAAAAGCATGAAATGTTTCTCGCAAAATAATTCGTATACTTTCTGGTTTCCTAGATTGCATACAACAAGCCAAGTCGCATGGAACACCGTACAATAATCGATTTAAAAAAAAGTTGACTTCAATAATGAATTTCTTTTGCGCGCCCTGACAAAATCAAATTTTTGAACATAAGACATAGCTTTTTGAAGAACTGAAAATCAGCATTATACTTTGTAACGATTACAGACCTGATGTTTATGTCCCAGTTAAAAATCATAGTGAATTAATGAGAAATTCCTGTTGTTAACCTATTTCAGATTCACACAAGTTTCCGAGAAATGGGAACAGTATGGCCAGATTTTTCACAGGTTATACTTGAAAGAAGAATTGGTGAGTATTCTGGTAGTATAGTACATTACATATAATAAAGTAGAGATATGTACAAAATGAAACGAAATAAAGATTGGGCTAAAGAGAATTTTCAAATCAAACAGTCCATAAGCAAACGGTTTTTTCTTTGCCTGCACTAAGTAGCATATTTCCTTTGGGATGCCACGAGACTGAATGCACGCCTCGCCTAAAAATACGAATTGCAATGTCTGATCGAATTGCTTCTTTTACATACATTGGAAGTGAAACAGATTTCCAGGTCACAAAGCGAAGTATTAGCACCATATTATAGTAAAAATTCAGTAATGAAAGTGATTTTACATAATTTATATTTGCCGAACAAAGAAAAAAAAAAAAAAAGATGGGTTTTCCGTAAAAATGCTTTAAATATACGAAATACGAATTGTAACAAAGAAAATCTGCGACTTTCCTTTCTCCTTTGAGAAAATATTTTCTTTTTATTGTAAAGCTAATAATATATCTCGCTGCGTATAGAAATGTACTTGCTGTATACAGAAATGTAAGAAAATGCCAAGTTCTGTGGTTAGAATCAAAAATTTTAATTTAAGAAAAAGTTGAGTTCTCACTCCTTTTTCTACTTTCAGCGTCTCTCACAGCCATCATATAAAACAACACTAAGCTAATGCAGTGTGGAAAATAAAAATTCAGTATAATTCCTATGCATAATAAGATTTCGGAGAAAGAACTTACTCATGTCCACCTTTTTGAAGCGTTTTTTCAAGCTTGGTTGTTTTTAGGTTCCAAATAAAAATTGACCCATCACTGGAACCAGATGCGATATATTCCATCCCAGGACTTATTGCGCAACGAATGTGATCACTTCCTGTTCGATACTGATCGGCACTGCAGTAAATTTTAATGAGAGGCTGTATTGTAGATTTTAAAGTCTTCCTGTATTTATGATATCATAATTTATATACCAAAAGGAAAATTTGTTGTAACATGAAACAAATGAAAAATATCGGGAAGGAATCTTAAAAGGAAGAAGTGAAAGTAAATCAAATGTGTAAATATAAATATCAAATCATTTCATCTATTTTTTTTCATAACATTTTTAGAAAACAGTTAGAGAAGAAAGTTAATTTAGACTTGTACAAACAACTCGAGCGATTCATGATGCGAAAAAGAATATTCAAGAAAAATACCTGTATATATGAACAATTTGATAGGAACGTAGATCGATTAATGACATCGTTTCGTCTCGTGCTGATGCAAGTATAACGGAAGAGTCTTAATGCAATTTGTCACAGAAAAAATGACGTCTAGATGTTACTACCTATCGCTTATTTCAAAAATAAAGATTATAGCACAACTATTGTATAGTTATTATATAACAACTACTGTATAATTATTATAAATTTGATGCAACTTACTGCTCATGAAAATCAATAAAAAAACGCTTTAAAATAATTAACTATACGGCAGCGAGATAGCAATTTAAATTTTAAGAAATTGGCAAAATTGAGAATTAAAGCACATCTAGTTTGCAATGTGAAGGTTAATAATAATTTTTTAGACATCGATTTCTACAACCAGTTTAGTATAAAACAAAATATTAATTTACCAAGTGAGAGAACCAAGGATGTGACTTTATTAGCGAGTTCGACAACACGAACCGGTTCATTGAGTCTTGTGTCCCAAAACCGCACTTTACGATCGTAATGACCACTAGCTACCATTCCATTCTTGTCACTCGAAGTTATATCATACACTACTGAATTAGTGAAATATGTTCTCAAACCTGAAAAGTGTACGCTAAATTTAATCTCGTAGATAAATCTCATAAATATCTCACATTCGTACTACTTTAAATTGTAGCTCTGTTTTCACTCATAGAAATTTCCAGTAGAAGCTAGTGTTAAAGTCTTTATTTTTTTTTTTCTCCTTTTATTCTCGCCACCTTTTTCATCTCCACCCAGTGTATTGGTAAAGAAATAACATAATATTGAAATTTTGAAAATAGAAGTGTAAACGTACATTTGGCAGTTTTTAAGTCCCATAGCTTAAAGGTTCTATCATAAGATCCAGATACAACTTGTAAACCATCTTCAAAGAATTTGGCAGATGATACCTTATTTCCATGTCCTGTTAATGAGTGCTGAAAACAAAAACGATAACTGACTGAGAATAAATTATTGAAAATGAAAAATACACCTTAAAGATTATATGTAGTCTAGAGATCTCAACTATTGTGCGATATTTGAAACAAATCAACCAAGACACAAGAAGATGAGATGAGCGTAAAGAGAAATGACATCAATACAGAAACTACTCAGAGGAAACATTGTAAAAGAGATTGCAAACCTTGACTATATGATTATCCGTCCCCCAAATACGAACAGCATTATCATTGCCAGCTCCAAGTACTTGACTGGTTTCAGCTGCGAAATCTATCCGTAGTATTGATTCATTCGAACCAGCCAAAGAAACACTGAATGGGATTAATTTGTACAATTTTTATTCTATACAGCAATTTTTTAAAGACTTCCAAGAACTTGCTGCAAAGCAACCAACAAGATCCAAGGTCTAAGGTACATATTAGAAAACACAGTTTTCTCTTACATTTTTTCAAATTTATCATTTGCTAGTTTGTATAAACGAAGTTTGTGATCGCCACCACCTCCCGCAAACATATCACCACTAGGGTGCCAAAGAATATCGTTAACATCATCGCCATAATCCTTAGAAAAAAAGTTCAACAATTATTTATTCACACAATAGAAAATTTTAATTTTTTCATATTTATAGAATTATGGGAAATTTAACTCACCAATTTTGTTTTACAATGATTAGGAATGACGTCACCTCTATAATCAAGGACTTGATTAGCGCTATTGATAATTTCAAACCTGTAAACTATTACTGGTTCAAAAAATCAGGAACAAATGTGCACTGCAAAACATCTGAATAACATTTAAGCGTTCATAAAACGACCTGGATTTCAGCGCATTCAAATACTTGCATTCTATTTAACTTCAAATTTAAACAAATTTTACATCATTTCCTACTGCACCATGAGCTATTATTCTTTGAACAGAAAATTATTATTTTTTTTTTAAGCGCAAAGGACTAACATAAAAAGGAAGCAATAAAACAGTTGTACAATGAAAAATATGGAAAAGATATTTCAACAACGAATATTTCTACTTGTTAACTAACCCATACGTTTTGTCCTCGTTGTTGTGTGACATAATTAGTGCAGATTCAATATCTGCTGCTAAACGACGACGACGTTCCCTAAAGGAAGGAATCTAGAGCATTTTCATTTTCTAATGATTAGATATGGAAAAACTGGTCGAAGTTATTCAAGATATTTACCACAGTAAATAAACATACTTCCATTTTTGAAGTGCGATTCTCATGACTTTGAAGTTTCTTTTGTAGCACTAAAAGTTAATCCCCGACAAATACAATTGGCGTATTTCATCGCTGAGTCAAAAGAGATAACAACGATTAAGAGGGAAGGAAGCCAGAAAAGAATTAGTGAGATAGAATTAGGCAACACAGCCAGTTTCACATTAATATTAACTAAGTCCAATTCATGTTTAATGTGTACCTATATTTCACCAAAATCGAAGTGAGGACACTAAATGTTCGCGATTTGGTCATAATAAATTAGATTTAGAAAGTTACGTTAACACAACCTTGTCGTATAAATGATGAAAAGAAAAACAGTTTCCTCAATCACTACAAGTCACAGTTGCTTCCTAATTAAGCATAAAATAAGTTCCATTTTATTCCATTTCAAAGTGCTTAAACTGAGTACATGAATCCTATTTTTCTGACCGAAATTCAAAATCAAGGAAAGCATGCAAAAAAAGTCCAAACAAATGAACTGTTTACTCTTGTTCTCGTTCATTTTGTTCGTTAAACCATTGGACTTCCTTCTCTTTAAGGTCCTTTATTCGATCAACTAAATTATTTCTTTCTTCTTGTGCTTCTCGATATTTGTTTTCGATGCTGTTATAGCTTGCCTAAAGGATATTGCGAGTTAATTATTCCTGCCTTTAAAAACATAATGTATGTAAATGATGTTAATCAGTGAATTATTAGTCTAACAAAATGAGAAGACACGTCTGCATACATACAGACTACTGTGCTGCTAAATAATAGCTCAAACTTATTAGAAGTCTACAACGTTGCAAGTTCTAGTATTATCAGAACTTAGCTTTATAAACCAATAAAATTATTAAAATGCATGCCTGTAAAGCAAAATGTTCATCTTTTAATAAAGTGTTTGCCTCTTCTAGTGCAGCCAATTCCTCTTCTTTTTCTTTCAATTTCTTCTTCAGCTTCTGGTTCTCCTTTTGGCATTCTTCTTTCCTAAATATTTTACTTAATAAGAATTACAGTAAGACAGAATGATTACAATTTCTTAAATAAAACGCTATGTGAAACTGAATGCTGGATTATTCAACTTTATAAGTTTACACACTCCGCATTACTTGAATTTCTCGACAAAGGCATTTACCTATGAGAAAGCAAAGCAAACTGGAAATAACGATAACCTATTAAAATGATGAATTTACCTATTGAATTCGGAATTACGAAAATAAACATTAACGTAAGTTAAACTCACACAATAGTAAGTGCGCTTAGCTCTCGCACAACAACACCTAAACGATTGTTTGTTTCAATTAATTGCTGATCATTTTGCTCCTTTTTACGGTAAAGATCTGCAAGCTCAGCTTCCAGTTCCACCGTACGATCCGAACTTCCTGCTCTCAAATATCGCTGTTGAAAATACTTTTGCCACTGATTAATAGTTTGACAAGTTCCACAAAAACAAATGAAATATCTCCTATCATCAAACAATCCTTTTAGTTGATAAAAACGATGTTTTAGTGATGATATTAATGATATGAATCATTAGCTTATCCGAACTACCTGAATAATAAAGAAACAACTAAACCTACAACGAAGTACTCGAGCCGTGACGTATACGACCGGTACGCGCAATGTTTGCCACATACTCTGTTAATTCGCAATCTACAACGAAAAAATTTGATACCATTATTAGAATTGAAAGATATGATTTGAGAACAGTTCGACAATATTATGGGTAACTTCTGTAGATGGAAAGCCACATTTTCAATAATGATAAAGATAAAAAAAAGAGTGAACTTACAAGAAGTGAATAAGGAATCGAACTGTCTGCACACAATATTTCGACGTTCAAGTTGTTGTATGATCACTGCACGGAAACTGTTATCTGTCATATCCGTTCCATCCATATGTCCTCAACAGCAGTTATTCTAAGTAATACTACTCATAGCAATGTATCCATCAGTTCAATATGTATATATATGTATGTGTGTGTGTGTATATGTATGTGAGTGTATGCATGTGTCTAGGAAGGGAGTAATATATTCAACACTGGAAGCGAAAATGTCCAACTGGATAAATCTCAACATCAACCATCTAAGAGGTGCTCCGAGGTACAGAGTAATTTCATACCGCGCTATTCGCTAATGTGATTAGTTGCGTTCGCGAATTTAATTTTCGAATTGAGGCAGCTAAACCAACCTTCAGGATCGTTGTATAGTGGAGTGCTGGGCGTGTTTAGTGGAAGGATGGAGAAATGGTTAATTATTGAAACGAAGCGAGATGAGAAGTATGATTACAGCCTCAGCATTCTTTGAATAACATATCTTGATATCCTTTCTGAATCAACTGTTGAGCAGGTAACGCTCGGCATTGCGTTTCAGACTTCTAATGATCAAACATAGCATTACGCACATACGGTGCATCTCTCCTCAACCATCTTATTCATATTCATCATCTAAGTCTACGTTATGTTTTTCTTCATTGTTATACAGTTGTATTTGCAGTAATTATATGATGGAAGAAAGTTGCTCAACATATGACCAAGGCATTGATAATTCTGAGAATATTCATGAATATGAGGAGCATCGTGTGATCGGGAAAGGTGCATATGGTGTTGTTTATCTAGTTACTCATATACCTAGTAACATACAGGCGAGTATTTTTGCTTAGCACTTTTTAACATATTTTTATTTTGAAAATCACCGGACTGGTTGCACTAACACTGTTTTTGTCGTTTGCATACAAATTAGGTATGTCTTGTCATTTCAGTAACTCTTTTCACTTTCATTCTCCAATCAGAATATGTAATTTTTACTTGTTCATAATATTATATGTAATATTATAAACATTGAAGCTTCAACTATTTACGCAATCAATTATAGTATGCCTTAAAAAAAATGATTGTGCGTATAACAGAAGATGGTATACCACAAAGTATTATACGTGAGATCTCAGCATTGCGAGCGCTGCATAATTTGGATCATCCAAACATTGTGAAGTTTGTTTTTTCACATTTTTCTTTTTCATCTTTGAGGAGGGAAAATTTATCATCTTTCTCTTTCGATTATTATTAGAACTTATAAAAAAAATCGATTTCAAATTTCTATTTTTATTGTGGTTTTATCTGATGACCTTTACATGTGGATCAAAAGCCGTAGATCAAAAACGGCGTGTTATATAGATATGAAAAACTTTGAACAAAGTTTACACATTGTTTTAGATTACACGATGTATTTCATGGTCAAATTGATAAGGGTGAAATGTGTTTGAGTGTTGTTTATGAAAAATGTGACTGGGACTTGTATGAGTTTTTGCGTACCATCCCTCGCGACATGGGTGATCATCAATGTCGTCATATTGCAAAGCAGGCAGGTTTCTGTTTCTACTTGGAATTTATCTAACAACACGTTAGGAATTCTTTTTTTAATAAATTTGGCAAATACCAAATGCTTGATCATTAATGGCAGTAAGTTTGTTGTACTTTGTTGCTATATACATATGGCCTCATTGCATTTTTTGTTTTCTGATATTACAGGATTATATTTTTCTTTTACTTCTTTAAAGGAAGATTTCTTAACGGATTTATTCAGTATTATTCAGTATTTCTGATGCGTTAATTGTATATTGTATCGAAATGTCTCTCCAGTTTTGATTCATGTCATTACTTTACTGCAGATCGTATTCCACTTACTGTTCTCTTTCAAAATCGTAGACCAATTACTAGCTGATCGATAGGTATAGAATCTCATTTTCAAAGCTGAAGTTTAAGATTTTGATGGGATTGGATTTTCTTCATTCAAATCATGTTATACATCGAGACTTGAAACCACAGAACATACTAATTAACCGTGACCAAACAATCAAAATTGCCGATTTTGGTTTAGCTCGCTATTATTCAATGCAATCATCTTTCACAACACTGGTAATCTTTTAATATCTGTTATTTTTTGGTCCCACTCATCTTATTTTCTTAGTTTCTCACTTACCTTACTTTCTCAGTTATCTTCATCGTTGTCAACGACATCTAAATTTTAGGTTGTGACTTTGTGGTACCGAAGTCCAGAAGTATTACTTCAGTGCTCCTATAACTGTGGTGTTGATATCTGGGCTGCTGGCTGCATCATTGCCGAATTATATTCGCGTCAACCACTTTTTCCAGCACATAGTGAAGCGCAACAATTGAGTATTATATTCCAGCAAGTTTTTAAAATTTTTCTTTTTCTCTTAAGCTGATTTCTATAACTTTTCTTTTTTTTTATTACTCTGAAAATCAAATTAAAGTTAAGATCGAGGTTTTTTAAATCTGCTTGATTTTTCAAATTTCATATTGTTTCCAAATACGAAGCGGATTTTGAAAGTTTAACTGAAAGATGTTATCACCATGTCTTGTGAATATAATGATTTATTGTTTAAACAAAATTATTATTCATATTCAACGTTACTAACAGAAGATAAATTATGTCCTGCAGAAAACTTGGCACTCCGCCTTCTAACGAATGGCCACAAAACGCTGTCATTGAACGTTCATTCTATCCGTCCTATCCTGGACAACCAATGCGTCGTATTGCACCCAAATTGCCACCAGATGCCGCAAGGCTAGTAAAAGTACGTTGTTTTACGTGACTTTAAATGGTCCGATCTTATGTAGTTCTACAAAAATATCTAAAGAGTTTTTGAGCAAGCTAGAGAATATTAGGTCAACGATGTACCATTTCGTTGTATTTCATCCTCTATTTTTTCCTTGAATGACAGAATAATTAAAGTAATTTTAGTGGTTTTGACCTTTTAGCCTCATGTTTAATATCAGTGCCTACTAAATTAAAGTCATATATGTATAAGTTCTTTGCAAATTGCTTTTGTAAATTTTTTATGTCATCTGATGTAATTTTTGCTTCAATCACAAATTTGCATACAAAAAGAAAAAATGCGGTCAATAATGATTTCAGAGTATGCTATCTTTCTTACCAGAAACAAGACCTTCATGTGCAGAAGCATTAAGTACCGAATATTTTCGTCAGAAACATGGTTCAGTTGTTTAATAAGAAAATAAATGAATTTCTCTGTGCTTCTTTTTTGATCTCTTTGAACGACCTGTTATTTTATTCAACTGAATTTGTTCAACATTTTCCTTATAGTTTTTGTTTTGCATATAAATTATGATTATCTAACTGCGCTAATGCGGTCGTTTTCAATTATTTTTAATTTTTTTAGAGAAAAGTGTCATCTTTTGCGTCTGGTTATGTGCAAGTTGTATAGGTTTTCAAGCTTTCTCGAAAAATGTAGTGATTTCTCATTTTTTCGCAGCTAACTGCTTATAAAGAGGTCACTTTGAACATTAGTAATTATTTGATATTAAAAGTAGATCTTGATTTTTTTTTCTTTTTGCTTTAAAAAAAAAATGGAAAAATTGGCTTTTTTCAAGAAAGTCAAAATTTTTTGACTGGTTTTCAAAAAAATATCGCATATTTTCTATTGATTTCGATCCAAAACTGTGTTGAAATTCCTTGATCTCTCTTTATTCAGTTTGCTTATTGATGTAATACGTGAAATGTAGTCCGTAGTCTATATTTTAAAACTGTTGATTTACCTTCTCTTTGTGTTTTATAATTTTGATAAGCTAACCAAATTTCTGCTAAATTTTTTAAAAATTCTATTAATCGTTTTCTATTTTATTCTGAAATCTCGGTTATGCTACGCTTTGATGTGAAATAATCATCTTGTCTGGAGATATCTTGAAGTTCAGAGGGATATTCAGGATATTTGAAGGTAGGATTTTATTTTTCGTTCCTTTCAATCCAGTTAATTATAACAGCATTTAGAATTGTTCCAAGAATTTAAAAAGCCTGAGATGTAAATGTTTCTGTAATTCTTTATCCCAAGCAACTTTTCCTTCAGTTTCAATCATTCGGGTTATTTCAGTCACTTGGCTTGTGTTTTCCCTTAATCAAAAAAATTTGCAATTCTTATTCAAAAGCTTGAAACTACGGCATTCATTCAAGTTTTTTGCGCATTTATTTACCATTCACTAAATAGGTTCCTTACTGCCATTTCCAGAATCATCGTTATGTTATAATAAATTTACTTATTCTTTTTATTACTCGTCATTTCTTTTTCTCTTTGATTTTTTATGAAGTTGTAGTTGATTTTTTCTACATTAATGCAAGGTATGGATATAGCGCAGGATTTCTCAATCTGAAATTTTTTTGCACAGGTGCCTTTCATGCTTGGGATTTTTTCTAACAGTCTAGATTTATGGCATATCAAAATGGCATTTCTGTGAAGATTTATTAAGATAACTACTCCTCATTGGCTACAATCAAAACTTTGTTTCCTTTTTGTTAGAATTTCACTATAGATCTATGGATTATATATCTACATGAAACTGATCGAAAAGTTTTTTCAATGTCAGTGATTTGACATTTCAATTATCATAATATATTCTTCGTAATGTGACAAGGAATTGTATTTGTAACATCATATAGCGAGGTAATACATTCTCCTCACTTTATTGCTTATTTCATCATTACAAACTCCCTTACGAACAGTTAAGTGTTATTAATGTAAGCTATGATGATTTGCAAGTGGGTGGAGTTAAGCAATTTTAAGAGAAGATAGTTTGTACTTTATCCATAATTCAAAATGAGTTTTGCTCGATTTTAATTCATTTTGAAGACCAGTTTCGCTCTTATTTCCAGATACCGGTATATTTCGGTCATTTTTCAAGTCTTTTATATGAGTATTGTGTAAAATTGTATGAATATTAATTACTTTATCCCCACTTCATAATTATTTATTTATCTTTTCCGGTCCAGGTTTTTTTTTTTTTTTTTTTTTTTTTTTTTTTTTTTTTTTTTTTTTTGAGCGATATCCCGATGCATACTGCTTTCTTTCCATTCAGTTGATATCCAAATTGAAAGATCAGAAGAGAAATAACGTTTCCATCAGTTCTCTTTCTGTACAATGACAATATTTCTATGTGCTATGGGAAGTCTTTTCTTAATGGGGAAACAGTTAAATCGAAACTTTTCCTAAAACTATTCCGAATTCAAATTTCACAGTTAAGAATGCGGAAAAGCTATAACTCAAATTTTTTTATACTATATGATCATTAACTTTGATAAGCCACTCATGCTATTTCATTTTTCCGAATCATTCAGCACAAACAGTTTATGAGCAAATATTTCGAGTTTTAGAATCGTTCCCAGAAGCTCATCTTTTCACCATTTTCCTTCATTTGATGAAGTACATATCTAACCTAACTTACCAACACTAGTGGGGATTTTTTTTTTCATTTTTTATAATTAAAGTTTTCTTATAATTGAAACTAGATGTAATTAAATACATGAATTCTTTATAAGCTTTGATATTCGTTATTGGCTTGATGACAGTATATCTGTCATTCCTTTTAATTCTTAGTATTAATAGCTCGTTGTTTAAAGCAGTGACTTCTCATGACATTTCAATCTTTATAACTTTCTTTCCTTCAGTTTTCTCCCACTAATTCACCAAAGATGTTAACTTTTATGAGTCGATGTTTTCTTTGTGTAATTGTTAAAATAAAAATAGTGCAGTGGAATAAGCATAATTTGCATCAATGTGAATAAATATAATCCAGTTTTTTAACAGTATCCTTTTTATTATTTACTTGTTAGTCCTCATTTAACTTGTTTTTTGACATGCATTTTAATTCTGCAAGATGCAAATCAAAGACGGCGGAAGTTAGACATTAGAAGTAGTACGACTTTGTTTACTAATTTGGTCTGCTGTCGTCCATTTGGTGCTATTATGCTCATCGTGTTTCTGCTTCCCTTTTGAAATAGGATGTTACCAGCTTAAGAGTTTCTTCCGCCAACATCTGCGAACTTTCCAGTTTATATTTCTTCCGCTGCCTTGTCTAAGTTCTATTTTAAAACCTTGCATAAAGAAAGTGTTGAATGATCTGTCTTTGCTTTCAAATTGGTCATAGAAACAGAAATCCAAATCGAATCATTACTAGCCTGATATATGCTTCATTTTGTTGGAAAATTTCAATTGCAGCAATACGAATGGCGACGAATAAATTGGGAGAACCATCTTTCATTGATGATAGATAATCTTTCCTTTCGTAGGCACTCCTTTTCATCTCCGATCACTTTGTTGATCACTTTATGCGGCATCGCACTTATCTCCAATAGTAAAAGTTCATGTCTCATTAAGGAAGGGTTCATAGGCTGACAGATTTCGAGATTGCCACTCGAACAAATACTTCACGCTTTTATCAGCTATCGTAGTACTTCGCACTTAGTGTCAGCAAAAGCGAGTTAATATTTTTCGAAAAATTCGCAACCATCTTTGAAATATGCATTGTTCTTATATTTTAAAGAAAAAATCACCTAAAAATAAGCAGCTTTGTTTGAAATCGATGCAATTGGACTCATCTTGAAGAGATTTTCATTGCGACTTCATATGCTGAACTCTGATCGATGCAATAAGTTGCGAGATCAAATGTCAGTGAGGTATCTGCCAACGACTTATTGAAGACTATTATTGTTAATTCATTTTTGATTAAAAGAATTGAAGAACTGATTTGTTGTAATGAAAAGGAAAAGTTTCTTGTAAATTTTGATTTCTCTCGTTTAAATATCAAGTCAGTAAGAAAAAGAAATGCGAGGAACGTGTCCCTCAAAATTTTGCTTTTGGAGGCGTTCTTGATATTACCTGCTGTGCTTTCATGTTAGAAAAGAGACGAATGGCGCAATATGCTTTCACCCTATCTGCTCTGTTACCACAATTCCCTTGCGGTTGCTTTTCAACACAGTGGCTCTTCATTATACATTTGATAAATAGGCCTTAGGAAAGAAGGCCTCCAGTAAAGGCAAACATATAATTCTCGAAGGCAGAATATGATACAAAGTTGGAAGCTATCCCTTCTCTGAAGTGGAGGAACTCTTGAAGAACCTTAATGAATCCTCCATCAGTGCCAGTTGTGCACTTTTCAACAAATATTTCCAGTAACATATCGAAGAAATCCTTCTATGGTAGAAATGTTTAATAGAGAAAAAGAGAATGAAAGCTCTATTCTATCACGATACCATCAACTCAACTTTTACAAATATCAATATTACTACTGCAATGATCTCCAACACATATATGCCCATTTTGCGATTGTCAATCGTTCATCGAAATTTTGTATTTGTTCTTCTTGAAATGAAGCAACAAAATTTTAAGATGTCTTTTCGATTTGGTTGAAGTCTGAAAAGTTTTCCACATATTTCAGCATTGCTGAGTTTATGCTGTACCAACGATTAATGATTAAATTAGCAGAAACGTATTGATTGTTCCGAAGAAGGTCTTCCCTGAAAATTTTTCCACCCAATAATTGGTATGCAAGGAAAGCGTATCAGTAATAATTATTTATAAATACTGAATTCCCCATTAGCGTAACTGAAATTGTTGCATAAAAGCATCCCTTTATATTTATTCTCTCTCATTTCCCTTTTCCCATTTTCATTTCTCTCAGCAGAAATATCTTTTATTTCATCATCAATACAATGTTGGCAACAAAAAAAAAGGACGGCGCAGTTTTCCTTCCGGCATTTTGCAGATTAAATATTCATACCCATTTTCAATAACGAAAATATTTTATTGCTGAAATGTATTATCACTTATATCATTCCATAACAGTAGTTTCAGACTTTTCTTTGCTGTTATTCATATATTGAAAGATGATAACTCTGTTATGTGATGAATTTTTTAAATTCAAACCTAACGTCTCGTTATATTAGAGAATAGCTTGAAATTTTTATCCTGGAAGCTTTAAATAAGTTTGCAGGTTGTCTTTGCTAGGTTACTTAGCTAGAACCCAAAGCACTATTGTGCCTAACTTTAATTGGAAGTAATGGAGTAAATAAATTTGCTATCATTTTCTCCTATACCATCAACTGGTACTATTAAATAAATTGACAACTTCGTTTATCCGCATCAAATTTATTATGAAATGAAATTTCACAGTTAAATAGACGTGGAAATCAAATGCTGTTTCTATACCGATTTATTTTTT